AGCCTGTCCTTGTAGAGCCAGCCCTCTGATCATTTTTGTGACCCTTCTCTGGACCTGCTCCAGCAGCTCCACATCCTTGTGTTGGGGTCCCCAGAACAGGATGCAGTACTCCAAGCAGGGTCTCACAAGAGCAGAGTAGAGGCACAGAATCGCCTCCCTCAACCTGCTGGTCTCACATCCCTTGATGCAACCCAGGATATAGTTGGCTTTCTGGGCTGCAAGCGCACACTGCCAGCTCACGTTGAGTCTTTAAGCAGCTGATACTCCTAAATGCTTCCCAAGGTTACTCTCAAGCCATTCTCTGCCCAACCCATATTTGTGCTTGAGTCCTTTCAAACCTGGGGCTCTTTCTTTTTTGTAACTTTTCTATTCAAGTGCTGAAATAAGGATTTTTACACCTTTGTCTTAAAGGCTGGAACAGTGTGGGCATTCTTTTGCTTTGCTTGCTGTGAAAGAGCAACACCTAAGTAGAGTTCCAGTGAAGTGACTGCTGCTCTGTATGAGTTTAATTGATTGCCTTTGCTTGTCCCTCTGTCACTACAAATCTTGGGTTTGGATGATGGCAGCAGAGAGCCAGCTTGAGTGTGTGTTTGCATGTTTTAAATAAACAATGGAACAGCAACTTCAGTGAATTGTGAATGGTGTTAATTTGTTATAGTCTTGCCTTCTGGCAGTGTTGAGTTAGAAGCTGAACAGTCTGGAACTGATGAGAGAGTTGCTGGTTCTTTTGCTATGAGGTGTGTGCATGGTTCAGTATGGTGTGTTTAGGGGGTCCTGTCCTGAGGAGCTTCCAGATTACATGGTAAAAGTACATGCACAGGCTGCTAATCTCTTTTTCAAAACCAAATCCTTGGGCAGAATTACCTTTTTCTCTGATTTGCCCCTCCCCTTTCACTTTTTTTTTTTTTTTTTTTTTTTTAATGGAGAAATGTCTTGAGGCTTGATTTATGATAAGAACTTACAATCTGTGTGTTTTGAGAAGTGCCAGAAAATCTTCGACACTGACAAGAATACTGCATAGAGAAGGAAAGATACTTTGCATTGTTTCAAAGTTTTCAACATCCCATAATGCTGGGTCACCTTTTGTAACTGCCTGGAGTTGTAATCACTGAAGCTGATAAACCCTATGACAGAGAAGGCTGGCCAAATGTGCCTGAGATATCTGCTGCCCTGGACCACTGTTGTGCATGGGAACCTTTCTAAGAAGAGGAGGACTTTGGAAGCATACTAGAGTGACCTCCTTGCAGCTAGTAAGTTTAAAAAAAGTCTGTAGTCTCAAGTGAAGATGAGAGAGGAATGACAGATGAAATGAGAATTTGAGGGACCACTGACATCTGAAGAGGAAGCCAAGGAAACATGAAAAACTCTGAACATGTGTAAAATTACACAAAACATTCAAGTATCTCACCATAAGCCCTCTTTCCCCTTAGGATATCTGCATCTTGGATGCATTTGGCTGTAAATCTATCTAGTTTGCAAGACCTTGAGCCTGTAAAGTCTTCTGCTTTTACAAGCAACAGTAGCTTTCTGGCATCCTCTCATTTGGCAGGCTCAGAGCGGCAGAAACACAGTGTAGTCACAAAGCACCCCATGTCTGAGGTTCAGGATGGTAATTTAGGCATACAATTTGGAAGGGTGCTGGGCAGGGTCTTGACACTGCCAGGGCCAATTCTTAAGCTAATTTGCTTGAAAAACTTCACAGGAATGAAGCAGGCAGGAAGAATCTGAGGGCAGGTTAGTGCTTAGGGGCAAGTATTTATCTGGAAGTAGAGGCTGGAGCACATAATCAGTTCTTGGGGAAAAAAAAAAAAAAAAGAAAAAAAAAAAAAGAGAAATAAAAGGTGGATAAAGTGCAAAAGGTGCCATATTTAAGGCATTGATTATTTGTGTTAAGGACAACTGCTGCTGCTGCATCCACAGGCACAGATGAAATAAGTGAATGAAATTTGGTCTTGTACAAAAAAAATGAGATGGCAAAGTTTGTTTCTGAGCTCCCTGGCATCTGGTATATGGCAAGAGAGATAACATTTTGGTCCAAGGCTTTTGGTGCCCATGTCATCTCTGCACCCCTTGGCCTGGAGCTTAGTGTTATCTACTGCAACAAGTTCCCAACATTAGCACTATGCAGATGCTCCTCCACAGACTGCTTCTAACTGCAGAAAAAATTGCTGAGTACACACAAGAAATAAAAATAAGCAGGCCAATTGGGAGGATCTTTCTCAGACTCTCCCATTTCTTCCAATGCTGTGAGGCCCTGTTTGCTCTAACAAACCCCGTTGATGGGTCTGAGTCATAACAGCTGGTGGATTTAACACTCTTAGCTATCTATCTCATCCCTGTCCTGGAGATCCCTCTCCAGTCACAGGGACAGTTCAAAGAACTGTGCACTTGTTGCAGAATTGCTTCATTTCACAACCCAACTATCAGCTTGTACCCGTGGTGACTCAGAGACCTAAAGCTGTGCTGCAACTGGAAGGTTGCTGTAAGACAGGCTCTGTTAGAAAAGGGTCATGACATTCCTTCTCCAACACAGTGTGCTCTTGTTCCCAAAGCAATGTCCAGCACACAGCTACCACCCCATGCACCACCTGTGAACCCTGGTCTATCACACTGATGAATAGATCCCAAGGTTTAGGACCTTTAGCATCTTTTCATTCCATGTAATTCACTGGGGTATAGATTCTGCCTAAAACTCTCAAGGATTAGCTGGAAGGCAGCAACAGTCCTTTAATCACATCCTAAATTCTTGAATTGTGAAGAGAAAATTCTATGCACCAATGCTCAAAGGTAGGTGGGAAACAGGAATTTTGCATACCACAGGGCCTGTACCTGCTGAGTGCATACAGATACTATTCCTCTTATGTGGACTGAGCTACTTTACTGAATATGTGGGTATTTTATTGGAATAAGGAGTCATTAGATCAGCATCAGGTATGCCTGTCTCACTTGTAATGTAGTATCAAGCCAGGGCTGAGCCCTGTCAGCTGTTGCAGGGCTGCAGGAGCACCCAACATCTACTGCTTCTGAGCCTTTATGTGTTTTGTGCCACTGCTATGCTAAGTTCAACTGTACTCTGCAGATTTGCCAGAAATTTTAGTGCCTGGCTCTGCCTGACAACATCTCTGATGTCTATGCTTTTCCTTTCTCCTCCATGTATAACGTTTCGGAAGTCTTTGTGTCAACAGTGAAAATAAATTTATAACATACAAAAGCTCTGTTTGGGAATTGCAGGAAATTTCATTTCTGACTGCAGCTCTAGTAGCAGAAAACACCTCTGTGTTAAGCAGTTCTCTGCTAATCTCTGCCCTAGAGGGAAAACACAACCATAGAGAAGAGTTTCTTGCTTCACCGTAGCAGGAATTACTGTAATCTGGATGTAAATCTGCACTAGAGCTACTGTCTCAAAACCAGTCCAATAAATACCTTAATGAAGCATTCAGTCTTTCTTAAACTGAGTACTGCCACTATTGCTGAGTGTTTTGCAGAGCCCTGATGCTGCAAGTGCAGCCAGGAATGTGTTGCTTTTATGCAAGGTGTGTGCTCTTGGAGAGCGGGAGCTCTGGTCTGTTTTTCAGCAAATGCTCTTGGTTCAGTATAGCCCAGGTCAGGAAGCAAACACATTTCACTTCTTCACTGTATTGACAATATTTAAAAATCCACAGTATAGAGCAGTCAAAACAGGACAATCTGAGTACGAAAGCTCTATTCTTATGGAAAGGATTAAGTAACAGAACTGTGAGGATAAGTTTGCAGATAGGAATGATGGGAAGTGTCTGAGCCCAGCAGATGTCCAAGAAGAATCAAGACCTCCTCATTTGGTGTCCTTTTCATGAAAACACTTCCAATTTGCCATGCCACTGCTGTCCCTTACATTCACTCTCATACAGATAAGATTCACGGCTGTCAGTCTTTTCCATTCAGCCTTTTAAGGTTGAAATGGTAATCAATATTCTTCTAACTTTTTAAATGTAAGATTTCTATCTGCAGTAGCACAGATGGAGACATGCGGCCATCAATGTGATATGAACTATGCAAAAGTCCTGTCTTAAATCCCTGCGAGGCTGCAAGTTTATTTCTTGGTGGTTTTTACCTTCTTCGAGCAACAACAATTGTAAGGAGAGGCCTGTGCTTAGCATCTTTCCTGAGAATGTCCTCCTTGATAACGCTGCCAGAGCTGACTGCAGAGACTCTTGGAAGAGGACGATATGCACTGCAGAGGATACCCTAGGTTTAACAAGCTGTGTGCATCAGTGGGATGTGCTTTTTTTGGCATGAAAAGGATGTTGTTCTTCTTTTGGGCAGGGAAGGGTGGAATCGTATGTCTTAAGTTTCATGACTCTCATATGAGCTGTAGTCCACTACGAATCAACATCATTTCCAGTCTCCAAGAGTGGATAATAAAGTTATTAGTGAAGCATCATTATAATCAGGAGGGTTCAATATTCTCTTTTCCTCCCTCCCTCCTTGCTCCACAGATGTAACAAAAGCCAAAGGACTCAGCCTGGATCCATGCCATAACATCAGAGATGTTATGAGAGAAGGATTTCAAGAGCTTGGGAAGGGGAACAGGGAAAAGGGAACAACATGAAGGATCAGCATTTAAGTACTATTTCCATTGTCTGTATGTGGGTAACAAGACCGTGAAGCTCTGGCACCATTTTTTTTTTTTTTTTCCATTACAGAAGCATTTCTAAAGGTGATATTACCTGCCTGTATTTCTAGGCAGTAGGGAAGCTGGTGCAGATAGCCTGGGATCTGCTGTTCTTGGATATGTGTTCCGTGGTACACCTGAAACTCAGTGCCATTGGAGTCCTGAATGGAGGTGGACAGAGCAAGTCATCAAGGAAAAGTGCAGAAGTCTTCCGCTCTTTCTGTCACAGATCAGCTCGGGGGAGATGGGTGGAGGGGAGGTTGTTTTCGTAGTTACAGTTTTAAGGCAGATGGCCATTTTAAAATGTACGTTTCAATTTTGATTGCCGTTTTTTAATTGCATTTAACAGCGCCTGGTTCTCCATTCTGCATCCGTGCAGCCACGTTCTATTGATGGCCTGTTGTGATTTCAATGGAACATCATGGGATGTACCTGGCACGTCGGGCAGCACTGGATGGAGGTGCCTTTAGCCCAATGTACCTGGCATGGTAAGCGGCAACCAAGTGGTTAATCTGCATTGTACTGCTCGTAGTCTTGGCTTTTATAGCAAGGTGTTCCTGCTTTGCTGCAGCCTTGCAATTACTGGAAATCACTTTGCTCTCCTGATGTTAGTGCTTTCATGCACACAGGGCCTCTATCCTCACCCATGGACATCTCCATTGCCTATACAGTTTGCCATGCAGCGGGGAAGGAACTAGCCATGTCAGGCTCTGATTGTTATTCTAGGACAGGAAAAAGAAGGACTAGGGACATCATTTGATTCTATCTTCTCTCCTTTTTGGGTCAGACGCTGGTAGCAGTTGAGCATGTACTGCCCACGTACAAAACGTCCAAACATTGCAGAACAAAGGTACCAAAGAGGTGCTTGTGACTATATCCCAAGCTTCACCAATTCTGCAGGTGTCTTGTAAATTGCTTGAGGGAGACAGGATGGCAGTTCTATCTGGCAATAAATTGAATGTAACAAACAAGATAAGGACCACTTTATGTTTGCTGATATGGTATCCTCTGTGAAATAATCCTCCATTCTCTTCCTTTCCATGTGTACACTTGCAACAGCAGCTGCGCATCCTGCTTTCTCCTGCATGTTGCTTTCTCTCCCTTCCCCAGTTCTGCAGACCTATTCCTTGTAACTTGACATGTTGGTCCTACCTATTTTGAAGTGTGAGATACTCTAGTGTGAAAAACAAGCGTGCTGCATCCAGTTTTCTGCTTCTCAAAGACCATCTCAAAGAGCTTTTGCTGTTCTAATGCCGATGATGAAAAAGTGCATGTTCTTGCCTCTGCTTCAATGTTCTGCTGTCTGCCTTCTCACAGGGGATAGAGAACAGTTTGAGCTAACATAGTTCATGCATTCCTGTCTGCCTCTGCTGCTCTGGAATGTGAATACATTCACAAGGTATGGGTTAATGACCTGCCAACTGCAGCTCCTGGGGGGAAAGTTAGCAGCCCTGAAAGACCACCTCACCAATACCTTGGGAAAATCCTGGAAGTAAGTTCTCTAGGGGGGTGGGGAAAGAAAGATCAGATGAGCCAGCGAACAGTAGGAAAGCTCTTCCTGCTAGGATTTTCCAGTTCTCTAAAAAAGTTAGTTCCTCTGAAACTGAAGGGTGAAGAATCCACGTTTCAGTTTCACCTAGATACGACAGTAGCTGGACACAGCATTTTTAGTGTTGGAAGTAACTTGGTGGGAAAAAGCAACAAAGAAAGCAATTGGTTTTGTTTGTCTTGTTCTTTCCCATGCTCACTACTGCATGTCTACTTGGTGCAGCAGAACTGCTTAGCAAGGAAGAGTCATAAGTAAGCAAGACCCTATTTTTTCCTAGATATATTATAACATGCATGCTAGGCTAATGCTTTACTGGCATCTAATTTGATACATCACATCTAATTTGTTTGCTGGTTTTATCTGCAGTACTGTTAGTTCACTGTTCAGGTGCTTGGCACAAATCCTCTCCATGAAATGAGTGATTCCTTAAATCTGTTTTTGATTGATTCTTTGCTTCACTGTTGTTGCTTCTTAGAAGGTGAACAGTATTCAGATGTTAAAATCTATAACACGGGTGAAATCAGAGTCTCCTACTAGAGGCTGCTAAGAGAACACACAATGTTTATTCAGGAATTACTTTTAGGAAAAGATTTAGGAATATTAAAGAGACTCAAATGAATGTAGATTTTATACTATTTACAGGGAGTGAAGGGATTCCTCTTCTCACGTACTTTGGCAACCTAATTTTCAGCGATTTCCAAAGTCTTTACAGAAATTGAGAGCAAATTATGTTTTTCCTGCTTTGTAGTGAGAGCAGCAAAGCTCCTGGAGCTGTTGATGTGTTCTGCATGCTCTCCACACGCACTCGATGACTGCATGCTCAAACCTGGGCACAGCAGCTCAGTTACTCAGCTCCTTGGGCATTACTGCTTGTGAAAATGCTTTTAGCTTGTGCAGCTTTGTTCAATGTGTGGCATTTGCTTGCAGCATTGCTGTAATCTGTGATTTGTGCTCTGTATTTTTCGTATCTTTGCATGTGCTGTGTCGCAATGACATGGATATAGTGGAGTAGTGGAGAGCCTCAGTCTTCTTCCTTACTTGCACAAGAATACTTAAGCAAGTTCTGCTTTGAAAACTGTGTCTTGAATGACTGGGAAGCAACCTAAATCTGAAAAACTACCTCTACTGCTTTTTGATTAAAGTCTTCTGTGATCCTGTTTAAATGCAAAGGAGTGAAATTTTGCACACCAAATTCAATACTGAAAGACTGTGAGCCTTGGTTTTGTTGTTTTTTCTTTTATCGGAGAACTCCCTATAAATGGGGAATTTGTGGTTTTGTTTGTTTTTTTAATCTTCTTGCAGAAAACAAAAAAGGAAGGGTTCTTAAAAATTATACTGAAATACACAAAATATAAACCACTGTGGTTTTTCAGGGTCTTTTGGGGGCTTTTGTTGTTAATACTGGTGGTAATGTTGTGCACATCTTCAAGGTTTGTTAAGAACCATTCTCTGCAAACTGACAGATAGGAAGACCTTTGTAAGGCTGCACCTGCCATTTGTTTGGGAAGATCTGCTCAGTTTTATACAGGACTTAACCTTGTAGTTATCTTTGATCCCACGCTTTCCGCTAGAAGTGAGAACTTAGGAATGCCAGAGGTCAAGGAATAATGCATGCTTGTCCTTTTGCTAACAAGATTTCCAGCATTCCCCTACTCACAAAATGCATCACTGCTAAAGAAGGGTTTATAATTGGTCAACTCTGGAAAACATCTGGAATGAATTTATTTGTGTCCAGGACTGTACAAGATATATAAGCCAGGTATGCCAACAAAGGTATTCAGTCAAAGGTGTGCTCTCTGACCCACGTTGCTGTCCTGGTAAAAACCCTCAGTGGGCAATTTCTGACAAACTTTTATATATGGAGATCTAAACTTGGCTGAAGGTTTTGCCTGCCCTGTTCTATTATATTCGTCTTGTTGGGGTTGCTAAATCCATGTTACACTTCAGCTAACAAATTCAAATTTGACAGATGGTGTTGTACTGCTTAAACTTGATCGCTGCATTTAAAATCTACTATAGGTAATAACCTATCTCATACTTCTGTCCTACTGAAATTTTACTTCTGTAAAATTTGAGATGTGAGATAAATATAGATAATTTAAACAACATGTACTATGCTAATTTTCTTGCTGCAGAACATACTGCGTTTTAATAATAACATTATCTTTCTCATAGAGTTCAGTAAAAAGCCAAATATAATTTTGGGGCTGCTTTCCCTGCAGGCTCATTACCTCATTACCTCATTTCAAGATCATTTAAGGCAGAAGGGTTCCCATTTGTAGCTGCAACAAGCCTTCACTTTTTGCAAAGGCTTAGACAAACATGTCTGCAGAAATTTCTAGACCTCTGCTTCAAGTGCCATACGAATGGTAAACAAGCTCACTTCTAGTTCAGGAACGCATATTTTTTTTATTAGTCTGTTCAAGAAAAAAATGCTGGCTATGATCTTTCCTTTCTCTTCCTGCATTTTCCTTATGGAACACTTAAAAATTATATTGAGGTATTTTGCATATTATATGCAAGGAGAAGCACTGTTACAGTTGTAGTGCAATAACAGGTGGTCTCTTGCTACTGCTGAGCAGGATGCATTCATATCTAGAGACAGAGTGTTATGTTGCAAGCCAAGTTTTTGTCCGTCCCTATGAATATATGTTGGTGACCCAGAAGTAAGTGCTTTTTTAAAGGCCTGGTCAGCTAAAAGTGGGCATTTGGTGCCTCACTTGTTACTTCTTCCTTTTAATCAGCAGTTCTGGAAGAAAGCTACTGCAGCCAGACGCACTGCCTGTGCACTGTAGCTCTGATGTAACCATCTCCAGCAAAACTTGTTTTTAAAGTGCTCAACGTAGTTCACTGGTGGTAATCCCTTTATGTTTTCAAGAAGCGGCAGAATGAATTTCTATGACAGAAACACTATAAAGAGAGAAGAAATAATTGTCTAAAATCGTAGCAAGCCTGTATTTCCTTCTTTGGCTGAGACCATTTTTAAAGCCAGCCATCTTGGCAAGCAGTATTAATGAGCAGTGAATTCACCATTTAATGTGGATACCATCCATTGTGAAATGGATAGGAATGGAACAGAAAAGCAGAACAGTCATTTTAGCTGTGGATCAAGGTGAAAAGCAACTGTGATCTGTGTGCACAGAACAAGGGCCACAAAATTCTACCAAATGCAAAGGCAAATTGCAGGCTGGTCAACCAAAAAAATGTGTCCTGTGGAAGAAGGGAGGCACCTGCTTGGCAGATTGTTCGGTAACTGCAGAAGTGCCATTCTAGTGAGTCAGCAGTTTGGGAAGAAAAGCAGTTTACTTTTTGGTTACTTCTTTCATAAAGAAAAATCCTTTTGCTTCATGGAAACAGATGAGGTAAATTTAACACCTTTCTGCAAAATGAAAACTTTTTATTCATCACCAGTCAGTAAGAATATAAGTAAGGTATGAAGGAGGCTTTTTTTTTTTTGTTAAACTATGGAGGTATTATTCATTATTTCTTTTTCTTGAGTACACATACTTGACCCAGAGAGAAGATAAGCCTAGATCAGCTTAATGCTTTATCATTTGAAATCTGATGTGACAGAATGGAACACACAAACAATAAAAGCATTAAGTCAAGATGATTTTAAGAGAATAATCTTCATTTCTATGGATGTAGGGCCTGCTCCTCCATCAAAAGCAGAAATCTATTTCAATAATAAGATGAACTGGGAAAGAAAGGGAGAAGGGGAAAGATGAAGGTAGCTGTTTTATGTTTGAAGCTCAGAAATTACTTTAAATGAATTTTAAATTAACAGATAAATGCCCATTATAAGTAGCAGCCGACGCTTTCAAACAAAAATATCAACAACAACAAAAGAAACAAAATTAATCTTGGATTTCTGAATGCAGCCCCGATTTTAAATGCTAATTTCTACATGTTCTCATATCTACCAAATTTGCAGGTGGCAGTTAGTTTGGATCCTCCTCAAACCAACTGCTTAATAAGGGCCATCAATATAAATCAATATAAATATCTAAAATAAATTACACTGTACATACCATTAGTGAAATACATGAACTACACAGAGATAACCACAATCTTACTCTCTTACCAGTATTTCAGGGTAGAGAGACTGCTATTTGAGATAGGTTACTTGAATTCTATTTGTTTAGACAAAAATCTTTCAAAATTAAGGGAGGAATTAACTTGAGAAAACAGTTTCAGATTGTTAAATATACTTGCTGGCATTTAGCTAGCTCAGCATCCTGAATTTCAGGCAGTCCAAGGTTGATTCTAGCACTTAATGTTAGTGGATCAGGATATGGACATTGCCTGGGGGGGTGATTTTTAAAACAGCCTTTCTTAAGGAGATTTCCCATTGACACCTCTGTGTGATTAATTCCATCTCCACTGGATTTAGTTGCTAAATGTCATTTTCTCACCCCCAGAGCTGCTGGAGTTTAATATGTTGTAAGACTTCATCATATTAAAGCCAAGAAACAAACTACACATTAAAGCAGGGAAGGTGAAGCTTATGCTAGTTATTTTACATGCTCGGATATACAAATGGCAGAGAGAGAGATGCTTTTTTCCTTTTCCTTTTTATCTTTCTCCTTATTCCCCCTTCAGATTTGTGTTAGGAAACGCAAAAAGTTTTCCCCTATACCTAACTACTGTTTTCTCACTAGTATCTTTTGAATAGCAATTCCAGCCAATGATGATTTCTTTTGTAAAAATCTGATTTTTGAGACTTGAAATCTTAGTGTGAGTAATACTTCTGTCGGTAATCCAGGAAGGATCACAGCTTGCAAGGCTACATCATATCCAGACCTCCATAGTCAGTGTCAAGTTGAACAAAGACTGCACACTGTTAAGCCAGTCTATTAAATGTAGACATGTTTGAGTGGAAACAGCAGGTTCACACTTCCCATCATCCTGTTTTGCAGGTGGTAAAGTGAAGGTGAAAGGAAGAGAAGGTGGAGATGGAACTGCCAAATCATGCCAAACAACTGCTACTGCAGCTGAACCAGCAACGAGCCAAAGGTTTCCTCTGTGATGTGATCATTGTGGTAGAAAATGCCCTGTTTCGTGCCCATAAGAACATCTTGGCAGCCAGCAGTATGTATTTCAAATCCCTTGTCCTGCATGACAACCTGATTAACTTAGACACGGACATGGTGAACCCCACCGTGTTCCGTCAGATCTTGGACTTTATTTATACTGGTAAGCTCTTAACGACTGACCAGCCCGGTGAACAGAACTTCAGTGCTCTCCTCACCGCAGCAAGCTACCTCCAACTGCACGACCTGGCAGCTCTCTGCAGAAAGAAGCTAAAGCGAAACAGCAAGTCCTTCTCTGGCAAGGCCAGTGGCCTTGGTGTTGGGAGATCTGCCAGGACTCAGAGACTTTCCGCTGCTTCTGTCATTCAAGCTCGCTATTCAGGGTCAAATGAGGGGTTGAAGGGCTCCCATACAAAGGAGCTGTCAAAGGGAAAGCTCTCTGATGATGAGGTCTTTATCAGCAGCTCCAATCAAGAGAACTGTCACTCCTTAAGCAGGGGAGCCAGTAAGAATTGTGGTGGGGGTGGTAGTGCAAATGGGAGCACTGGTGATCAGGAGCTCGGCCTCGATTTGTCCAAAAAGAGTCCATCACTCCCAGTTGCAGCCTCTCACGATGACACGCAGCACAGCGAAAGCCAGCATGGCTCTCCTCAATCTGCCTCAGCCCCTGCAGCCAACAGTGCCTCATCATTTGACGAGTCTGGAGTTGGAGCCCCTCACAGCATAGCGGACAGCAGTGACCCCATGGAGATGGATCTGAGCGAGGAGTGCCACCACTCACTGACAGAGAGCAGCCAGCGCAAGGGCCTCCGGCATTCGTCCCGTAAGAAGGAGTGGATCAAGAAAGATAATGCCTTTGACCGAAAGGATGGAGGCAAAGACAGGGATGAAGGCGAAGGGCTGCCCAATGGGATCTTGCTGGGGCCCTTGTCCAAGTCTGTGGAGCGGAGCCTGGCTGGGGCTTATGGTGCAGACCTGCCCTACTCGTGTAAGGAGGAGGTAGAAAATGGCAAGGAGAACAGTGATGACAGCGGCCAGAGTGAGAGCGAGAGTGGTGGGCATACCAGTGCCAACTACGTCTACCGACAGGAGGGATTTGAGCCAGTGGCGTATGGTGACAACCTGTATGTCTGCATTCCCTGTGGCAAAGGCTTCCCCAGCTCTGAGCAGCTGAATGCCCATGTGGAGACACACACTGAGGAAGACCTTTACATCAAGGAGGAAGGCACATATGGCGGCAAGGATGAAGCCGAGGATTTGTCCAACCCCAACCAGTCCTATTCTGCAGAGTCCCGGCCCTTCAAGTGCTCTGTGTGTGAGAAGAGCTACAAGGATCCAGCGACACTGCGACAGCATGAGAAGACTCACTGGCTGACGCGGCCTTTCCCTTGCAACATCTGCGGCAAGATGTTCACACAGCGGGGCACCATGACACGGCACATGCGCAGCCACCTGGGGCTCAAGCCCTTTGCTTGCGAGGAATGCGGGATGCGCTTTACCCGACAGTACCGACTGACAGAGCATATGCGTGTCCACTCAGGAGAAAAACCCTACGAATGTCAACTGTGTGGTGGGAAATTCACCCAGCAGCGCAATCTGATCAGCCACCTGCGAATGCATACCTCTCCCACATAAGCCAAAGACTCCAGAATGAGCTTCGAGCCCATCCGCAGTGATTTACCTTTCTGTAAGACTTGCTGCTTAAAAAAAACAAAAACAAGCAAACAAACAAAAAAGGGGGCAACTCCCCATACTCTGTTCAGTCATGGGAGGCCTAAACAAATGTAGCTTTAACATTTTTTTAAAAGTTGTTATCCCTTAAAAAAAAAAAAAAAAAAAAAAAAAAGGTCCACAGCCAAGCTGATGCATTTAGTCCAACTCTCCCTCAAAATCTTGGTGATCTAGCATGAAATGTCACTTCTTTCCATGTGCACTGACTTCACTGTCATTTTGGGAATCTGAAGCAAGGAGGAGGACCACAGGGAACTTTCGTTCTCTGCTGGATCCAGCCTCCCTGCCTCTTTCCTATGCGATGCTGTGGCCCTAGTCATGTTCTCTCTTAAAATGAAACTCAGTAGGGTATTTCTTGCCATTCAAAAGAAAATAGCATACATCTATGAAAAAACATTGCATTGCCCTCACAAACACGGAAACTGTGTCTGTGGACCATCTTGCAGGGTTGGCAGCCCTTTTGGATGCTGTGGTAAAGCCAAAGCAGTGATGGAACCCACCACCCACCCTGCTGGGCTGGCCATGGTGGAGACAGCCATCTACCTAGGCATGCAGTGCCAGGGTGCTTTGCTTAAAGAGCTGGTGATGCTTTCCTTACCATCCCTCACTCATTTGGTTTTAATCTTTATCCTTGGCACACGTAACCACATACCACCTTTTCCCACAAAACATGCAAACCTCTTCAGCCTTACCCATGACTGAACCAGGGACTGGATGCCCTGAGAATTTTTCAGTGAGCAGGGGGTCGTCTTTACTTTTCTAGTAGTTTCGTATGAATATTCTTTGCTTAGAGGTACTTTTATTAAAGGAAAAACCATTGTAACGTTTATGTGAATGTTTGAACTGGAAGGTCTGAGGTTAATTCTATGGTGGGTGGGTAGGGAGGGGGTTTGATGTAGGCTGGACTTGGTACAAGTTCCTTAGGTACTTTTTTATTATTGTTTATTTTATTTTTTTTTGTGTGTGTGTGTGTATGTTTTTAGCTTTCCTCCCTCACTAAAGAACAAGTCTGTGTGTACAGACTTGTTACCTTTGCTACCTCTTGAATTCATGAGAACAATAAGATGGTTAGTGAAAGATTAGGCATTTTTTTTTTCTCTTATTGTAAGTAATTCAATGTATAAAGGTAGAAGCTAAATTAAATTAAGGGATTTTTACCACCCTGTCCTTCCATCAAGTCAGCTAGAGAAATGTTAAAGCAAAGCTTGGCCAAAGACAAAGCAAAAAATATGCTGAGCCAGAAGCTGTGCTGGCTGCTCAGCCTGGCTCGTTCGCAGTCTCTTGGCTGTTTGTAGTCACTTTTAGATAAAAGAAGAAAACTTCTCTGAGTTTTCTGGGCCCTTTCCAGCTTTGTTTATTGAATCTGGATACTATGGGGAGAGGAAAATGCCCCCCTCATCTTCCACTCCCCCAGCACATCTGGGTCAGTCTGTAAACACCTGGCAGGACAGAGGGTGAGGGCATAGCAGTCTATAATTTACTAGAATCCAGAGTGCAATAAGGTGGAGGAGAGGAGGAAAAAGCAAACCAAAGTGTTTCATATCCTCCTTTTTACACAGTTTAACACACGCACACAAAAAGAAAGAAAAATGAAAAGAAACAAAATGTTCTTGCAACATCTGCATAAGACATCACAGCCAACAGCTGCTATTGGTTTAGGAGAAGAGACAGAGAACTCAGCCCACCAATTCTTGGCCCCCTTGACTTTGTTGGCGTGACCTTGTGGAAAGCTATGGCTTATTTCAAGCCTCCTGTGACTGTGGTGGTAAAAATTCACAGCCAGTAGAATCATCCCTTCTGAATTGAGAAGTTTACACTTGTATTTTTTCGCTCTCCTTTTTTTTTTCCCACTCAAACCAGTATAGTCTCTGAATAGGGTTTACCAAACCTCACATTTTATCTTTTTTAAAAAAATAAACTTTTTTTTTTTAAGTTTTGACCAAAAAAAAGAAAGAAAGAAAGAAAAAGAAAAAAAGTGAGCATGTTTGTCTGAAACTAAGAAATATAAGCTTCTTTTTTTTTTTTTTCTTTTTTTTTTTTTTTGTTAAGATGGACTAGTCCAAAAGAAGTTTTTGGGTCAGTTGAATGAACTGAGGAAACTGGAATCCAGGCTCCAAGCAATAGACTAACTGAGCTGCGCCTTGGCCTGGTGTCACATTACAGGGAACACGCTGCCCCTTTCCTGCCCGCTCTGCTGTGCTGTTTGCTCGTGCTATTGTCTGCCTGCTCTGGCCCCACTGTGACTTGGGGCATGAGGAGAGCACGGACTTTTCATTTCTCATCGTGCTGAGGCACGCTCTTTTCTTCTAGGGGGGCTAGGTGTGTTTTTAGTGTCTTTAGCACTTCCACATTTGAATTTATATTGAATTTTTCTTCCCTCAGTTCCCAGCCAACCTCCTCCCTAAGAACATCCCCAGAATCATCTTTGGGGAAAAGAGGGAAGGCCTTGCCATCTACCTTCTTCTCGAAGTAAGTCCCAGCAGGGCTTAAGGACAGCCATACAAAATTAGTTCCAAGGCACTTTCACACTGCCTTCACCTTCCCTCCAGCAGCCTGAAAGCTGAGCTCAATCTCATGCTGCCTCTGGCTGCTGCCACAGCAGAGCCTCCTTTTCTGCTGGCTGGCTCGGAACCCACCAAGTCCCGATTTTGACAATTATCTTTAGCTCTCCTAGTGAGAAACGTCGCTGGCAGTAAGCTCTGCCTCTGCAGTAGGTTTTGGGCACCATTTTCCCCCCTTTGCTCATAGCCCCACAGTTTGTTGTGGTGATGGGGTAAGTGGGAGGGCAGCTGTGCAGAGGCCATAGGATGCAGCTGTAGCTGGGGCTGCCGAGCCAAGGCATGGAGCACCCACAGCTCAGGGAAGCACAGTCAGATCCAAAGTGGGCAACCAACCTGCTCCCCCTCGTTTAATTCCATTTTTACAAGCATGCATGTGAGTGATGTAGCTTCTCCTTCCCCTTCTAGGTACCTTCTTCATTTCTTTCTTAAGCTTTGAGAATCATTTTGAAATTTCAGGACCCAATGCTTTTTTTTTTTTTTTTTTTTCTTCTTCCCCAGAATGGCTTTTTTACTTTATCCCTCTCCCCCAGCACTTAAACAATACGACTAAAGTCTGTGTACAGCAAGAGTATTGTACAAAAGGAAATTTTGTTCTTTTTTCAAGTAGCTGCGTAAAGTTGTGTTCCGTAGATTGAGTATAAACATTTTCCAAATTGTGACAGTAATAATGAATAACTAATAATACTCAAAACTTCAGGGACTGTTTAAGGCCTGCTTGGGGCCTGAACACTCAACTGCATTTGTACGACATAGTATTGTATCAAACATTTTTCTGTATTTTAATGAGAAAGCAAAACACTAGTTTCATATTTAAGATTTTAAGAGTTTTAGGGTGGGGGGAGGGAGTTGCTTTTTTTTTTTTCAAGATACACAGAGAGCCTCAAGAGGAATAAAACATTAAAGAGAAAAAAAAAAAAGAAAAAGAAAAAAAAAGAAAGAAAAAAAAAAAAGAGGCCTGGCAGCTTAAGCATATGCTTTAGTCACTTAGTTCCAGAATGTTTTCGGAGTAACAGGAAAAAAAAAAAAAGGATAAAATAGTGAAAGTTGTATAAAAAATAAGCTCATACCCAAATTCACAAAACTATTTTTTAAACCAAAGCACATTTGAATGAGTATGGAACCTCACTTGGCTCAGAAAAGTACTAATATATTTATCTCATTGTTTACATAAACTTTTACAGTTTCAGACCTCAACAGATCTAGGGGCCAGTCAAAATTAATCTTTGTTTTTTCCATTGGTTTCTCTTCTGAAGGCTATTGCAGATTCCCCAATTCGGGAGGGGGGAACTGCAAGCCAGCCTGCATTCCAACACTGCTCAGTGAGGGTGGGGAGGGAGAGCAGTCAGAACTATGGCACGTAGGTTTAGGACTTTTTGTCTCCAGCCCATGAGGGATGCTGCTGTGCAAGGCCCAGGCCCTCATACTGTGCAGGCTCAGCTGCTAAGGCCCACAGCTTGCAGCCATGGGGAGCAGCCAACTTCTTCCTCAGAGGACCTTGAGTGGGAGGGTGGAGAAGCCCCAGGAGAGCGTACAGGGATGGAAGAAGTTTTGGGGATCAGAGAAGAGTGTTGTCAGAAACGAGGGAGCTGCTATACCCAGCTCATCTCCCTCGGGCTAGCAATCACTGAGCTAGGTTTAGCTGCTTTCCTGCCCTTACTGCAAGACCTCCAAAACCAAATTCCTGGCAAAAATAAATGAAAGCCCAGCTCTGTGCATTTGGGGAAGTTAGCAGGAGCCACAAAGATCACAGAAAACACCAAAGAGCTATTGACACGCAGCTTCTGTGAGGCTCTGTGGCTGCTGATGTGGAAGAATATGCACAACTCTGTGCCACGCTCTGCGTCAGCACGGGCTGCGCAGAGGCGGCATCTCCCTGTGAAATGCAGTGGTGGCCAGGGAAGCTTTACTGGTCTGGGGTGAGGGCACGAGCGCAGACACGTAGCTCCCTTCTTCTACCCAGAGCTGCCCTGGGGCCTGAGCTATGCTGTTCTGACTATCTGAGCCACCTTTTAATTAAACAGCCGGAGTGATTCACTCCATACCTTGCAGTCACGTGCAAAGACACCAACCAAAAACCATAAGGCTTTCTAGGTGAAACTTAAGATAGATTTGCATGTTAGAAGAGTCTAATGATGACCAATGAAGATGGTTTGCAAAAATATTGCTGAAGCCAAAAAAAAAGAAAGGATTGTTTTTTAGAAAACCTCTCCATCATTAGTCTTGACCCTTTGTAGCTTTTACCTTCTACACCAAAGCCACCTCAAACATTTGATGGGGGGGCTGATGGAAAATGAAATATTAATTTTGCCTGGTCTTAATATCTAACAAAGATGGTGCAAACACTATTTGACAGTGTTGTTTTTGTATCAAGATGTATGTGCAGTAATGAATGTATTTATTTCTCAGATTCTGTATGCACAGTTTTGCAATGTAATTCAGAAAGTTGCAAACACAAAGATGTGTCTGCAGGGTCTACTCTACAGGATTTCAAAAAAATGAAAAAAAAAATATATTAAAAAAAAAAAAAAAAAAAAAAAAAAGAATCTCAGAGACTCTCAGCATAGCCATAAACCATAACCTGTGAAGACAATACAAAGACTGGACTTTTGTAGCTTTGCATAGAAGAGGAATTTATGTTTTGCTGTATTTAAATGTTTCCAGTTACAGTGTCACTCTTTCTAAGATTCCTATTTTGTTTTTGTTTTTATTTTCCTCTCTGTTGTGTGTGTAGAAAGCATTGTTTTTCAAGCAGTGCAGGTTCAGTCTGGGTTAGCAGTATTTTACCTTGTCGCTTCAGTTCTGAAAAGCGGGAGTAAGGGTCTTGACCAGAGGAAACATCCAGTGCACTCAGTGCAACCAAGTGAATTTTGAGGTGAATGTTGGCAAAATTTGGAGAACATAGAAGTCATCAGAGGAACAGTTCGTGCTTCCAGTTGCAGCTTGTGACTGAGATGAGTCTAACATCCTGCCTGAAGATCAGAATATAGCTCCTTTTTAAAACTCCCTCTCATCCTCCACTTACTGTTTACCATGGAAGCAATAAGGCTCTCAAAAGTACGGAGTCAATGCCTAAGATAGCTAGAGGAAGCTTTGTGCCAAACTCAACAGCATCTGTGCCATCTTGTGATGGGCCTCATAAACAACATGGAAGCATCAGATTCCCAATTGTGTACGGTGACTAGAGTCCCTAGCAAAAGCTGTATTTCACAAGCCTCTCATTCCAGTACAGGTAGAATTAGCAGTTATGGACCTGCAACAGTCTTAAAAATTAGAATAAAGAAAGGGGATATTTGTTGATTTCTGCGATCCTGGAGGATTTAAGTGGACTTTAGCATTTTTTCTTATTTTTATTTGAATTTAATGATTTACTTGCCATGAACAAAGTTTCTTCAAATACTGCAAACTTTTTTCATAAGCTTACTCTTGTGTTCAAGAATTGGCCATAATCTTGAAAAGAAATTCTGGAAGTACCTTTCCTGAATTTTTTTTTTGCACTGTTTTAAGTCCCATCGTACCTTATTGCCCTGATTTTAGTGCAGGAGATGAACAGGCAAGCTTATCTTTCCTCTTGCTGTAATCATCCTCTTCTTTCCCCCTTTCTTCAGTTTTCCTGTGCATTGTGAAGCCTAGTGTTGAACACACAGGGATCAGCAAATCGGTGTTTATTGAATGGAACAGACCCTGCAGGATGCCATGTGGAGGGAGGGTTTAAAACAATATTTCATGCAACAAAATTTGCTAGCACTTAGGGGCCATGCTTTGTAGTGCTTGCTTTTCCTGAAGGGTGGGATGTTTTTAGACTTCTCCTTCACAAGTTATCAATTGAAGCACCTAGGACAGCTGTTCCAACTTTCACGAGCCTGAGGATAACTTTCCTAATGAGGACAGGACCTTAATGTGGCTGGCTAGATATTTTCTCCTGTTTTATTTTAATATTTTAAATGCAATTAAAAGAGGGATGTACCATCTCTCTCACTTTCTTTTTTTTTTTTTTTAATTTTAATTTTAAGCCTTAACTATCAGTCAGTCTAGGTGCCCTGGATGTTTCCTGGAGAAGGGGAGAAGAAAGGAGGATAAGGGAAAGGCCGACACTCCTGCTGCAGTGTTCTGTTCATTTCCTTCAAGAGCTTGAATTCAGGTCAGAGCCACATGTGTTGTGGCTTCAACTCAAGTGTCATATAAAAAGATACAGAAAGTATAATATGATCTCAGCATTCAGAAATTTGCAGTCTTAATGTACAGTGATGAGAAACTGTTATTTTATGATCTTTTCATTAAAAGCTTGATTGAAAAATTACATTTTTTTGCTTTATCTGATTGTATCTATGGTTTCTCCTCCTCCATTTATTCTTGCTCAGGGATTTGAATGAGCTCTATCACAAAGCACAACCCTTCCCACAAACAGACTAAGTCTAAATAGCCACACACAGCTTTTCATTTCAGGCACCTACTGCTCACAAGCCAAAATCTGTGCTCGTTAGAATGTAAGAAAGGATGAACAACCAGACAGGCTGGTATACAGTAAACGTGCAGGCAAAGGTGAAATACCTCCATTATCTCACTATCCTTTCTTATGATCCTCAGTAAGTTGAGGCTGTTTTTGAATAGCTTCTCCTGCTTTATTCTTCTCAATCAAAGTTTAAAACCAATGTTTGTCGGGGACAGTAGATGGTAGATGCACTTACAGATCTGCAGATCCCTTCAGCCTATTTTGGGCTGTAAGTCTAACTCATCAGCACATCTTTGAGGATCAGAGAAGCATCTGAAGCAGAAAAGTTTCCCAAAATAAACTATAGTTCTTTGTTTACATGTGGTATGGTAAAATAAAAAGGGAAGTGCTTCCAGGGAAGATGATTGTAAGTAATGACAAAAGCACTCACTGCAGATTTCAGCCTCTCAAATGTTAATCACAGAATGGCCAGGGTTGGAAGGGATCTTAAGAATCATGAAGCTTCAACTCCCTTGCCACACGCAGGGCCACCAACCTCCCCATTTAATAGTACATCAGGCTGCCAGGGCCCCATCCAACCTGGCCCTGAACACCTCCAGGGACGGGGCATCCACAACCTCTCTGGGCAGCAGTTCCAGCTCTCTGTAAAGAACTTCCCCCTGACATCCACCCTAAATCTTCCCTCCCTCAACTTCAAACCATTTCCCCTTGTCCTGCTGTTATCTACCCTTTCAAAGAATTGATTAAGAAACAAACATTTTTCTTTGGACAGGTTAAGTGTGAGCCTAGCAAAATTCATTAACATTTCTTTGGTCTGGATTCTTAACAGCATCTACCAGGCTATCTTTCTGGATCTCAAGATCTTTCAATATAGTACATATTTAATGAAGACAACTAAGTATCTGCACCATAATGCAAGAACCAAGATCCTGCTGTTGGATTCATGTGTTTTGTTCTTTTTTTTTTTTTTTTTAAACACAATGCTGACTATATTTTAAAGTGACTGACTGAGGGAATTTCAAGTTTGGTCAGTTTTCTGACAGGCTGCAAAGTCAGCAGCACTGGTAAGAAAATCATTTTTATTTGTCCTTGGAGATGTGTTTTACCCAGCAAGGTTAAAGAGAAGGACTAAAATGAACAAAAAAACAGATGAAGAGCTACAGAAAGCCAGCGGCTGTTCTTCAACAGCTCAGATGTGGTAACCAGCCTGTACTCTTCTCCCAGCAACCAATGACCATTTTTTCTCTCTCTTTTTTTTTTTTTTTTTTTTTTTCCTGCTTAATTTCTTCTGGAAGTTTTTGCTTCCTGGCCCCCATTTCTCTGTGGCATGAGTGGTTTCCAGCATATTTAATAGATTGCATGTTCTATTTTGCTTTCGTTGCTGTGGTCAGCTCCTTTTCATCTCATAGTATGAGTTGTCTCATGTGACAACAATCCAAAACTCTGTGGTGGAACACTGACATATATACAAATGATGTGCCCAGAGCAGGATGTAAAGGATAGCAGATATGCTTGGAATGCCTGGGAATTTATAGTCTCTTTCCTCTGCTTTCATTGCCACCATTTATTGGTAGGACTTACTTATTTTCTTACAAACACACACTCGCTTTCTCTCACTGCCTTTCTCCCTCTTGAAGAGCAAATACTCATCAGGTAAAACTTTGAATGATAGGGAAATTAATTTCATCAAAATTCAAATGGGAAATTGAATTTTGGGAACAAAACTTACAATTTTTTGTTAAATTAAATCTTGTTTCACCAATATTGAAATCCAGTTCCGACCCTGCTGAGTATGTACAAGTGAAGAATATTTGTTTCATAAGAACTGTGACAACTGACTTCATATTAAGAAGTTAAAACAAAAGAATGTTTTTTTAAAAATAAAGAACAATTTCAGGTCAGCATAAGCCAAAAGACTAACACCTCACTTTGCAAATCATTTCTAAAATATGCCTTCATCCTGTCTTGTATTGAAAATAAACTTTGAAGAACTAGGGTTTTATCTGCAAGCAATGCCAAAGTCTCAACAGCTCTAAGAGTGCTGAAGCTATTACAAACTATTAGTTTTGTGAATCTGCCTGGGCTTTGTATTTCTGGATCTGCTACAAAGTTGCCCAGGTTTAAACAAATTGATTTTACCTGTAATAGCTAAAATTAATCATTTGTCCTTGCAAAAGTCATTGTTCTTTGTCTACAAAGTACTTTTTAAAAGCGTTACAGGAACAAAAATCTAAACATGTCATTTTTCTGATTCTCTTCTGAGAGAGGAATTGTTCTCAAAATATCTTAGATACACTCTCAGACCCTTTTCATACAGGGGCATGAGAGAAGGATCTAAGCAAAGGCAAGACTCTTGCCAGTGAGGGCCACCTCCAGCAGACTTCTATACGCTGCACGCTTAGAATCCAAGTGAAGGGATTCCCACTGGAGAGATTGGCTGCTGTCAGCAGAGCTGATAGGTCCCCCACTCCTTCCTTGTGGTGTCTTCAGTCCCTTACTCAGGACTACGATCCTTTATGGCAGGAAGAAAAATGCCTGAAACTCATAAAATGCAGTGGTTGCATTCATTTGGAAACTGCAAACTCAGTGCTGTTTTCATCTATGTCTGCATGTTGTCAGCAGGTAACAGCGTGCTTCTGGTCATGGTACTACTTCCTGGTGTTGGTTTCCTTAAGACTGCGTAACATCTGAGGCTGCTATCCATCCTACCTAACACCTTGAAGTTCCTTGATTCAAAAACTTGGCACGGAGGGCCAGAAATATTCCAAAGTTTGCTATCTGGGATAAAGCTGCTTCCCTTTGCACTACTCTGGGCACTGCTCTTGCCTCAGTTCTGCAGTTTCTTCCCTTCTGCAGGTCACCATATCATATTTTCATCCTTTCCCTTCACGTGCCCTTGTAGCAGTGATGTTTTTGTTGTTGGTGCTTTTTTCCTCCAAATCTGTGCTTACTGTTGAGCACAACTGAAAAGTGCTGTAGAGCAAGGTCTGAATCCCCATATTTCAGCTCTGTACGCTGAGCCAGTTCTAAAAAAAACATGATCTCCCTACAATTACAAAAGCACAGAATTGCAGGGATTTGGAAGGGACTTCAAGAGATCATCGAGTCCAACATCCCTGCTAAAGTAGGTTCCCCACAATAGGTGACACAGACATGTATCTCCGTAGAAGTGGACTCCATAACCTGTACCAGTGCTCTGTCGATTATGGTGAATCCATGGCTGCAGTACTAGATGGTGAAAAATATTCATCATACTGTCTTTTCCTATCCCAGGTGCTAAGAAGAAAGGCCAGTGCAGCTGGTAGGTATCAGCCCAGGAGATGATTAATGGTTCTGCCAGCTTTTTGCCTTCTCACCATTTTACCTCTTCCCTTAGTTTTTTCCTTAGTTACAGAGAGGAGCACTGGGAAAAGAGAGATGTCGCAGGCCTCTCTCGGTAGGCAGTAGCAAGATCTTTGATAATCTGGCTAAAGGGCCTAAATCTCCCTCTCTGTTCTTGTCCATCCTCTCCTTCTTGTACACAATTAGGTTTAAACAATTAAAAATAAATAAATCAATAGAGTCCCACCCCCCTTTCTCCTAGCTTCAGACCCAGATATCACATTAAAGCTATAGGCTCATTTACTTTTGGTTTGAGATCTTGAATTTAATACAAATCAAGAACTCTTTCAGGAGCCTGACTCAAAGCAACAAGCAGTTAAGGCTAGTGAACACATGGTATTGCCTTGTCTTGACTTCAGAGGATGGTGATGGCAAAGCAGTTGCTAGCATAGTGTTTGCTGAACTTCCCTGCACAACATGTGTGCACTGCCTTGTTTGGTATGCACCCACACCCCAGTATGGATATGGAGGATTCATATGCAGGAACCTGGCTGGACTAGCCAACCACATTCCTCACTGCAGCTACACAGTGAGCACTTCATGAGCACTAGGCAGAAATTGAGCTCCTACGTGGGCAGCGTTGTCTTGCTGTAGCCCTACAATCTGTGTGCTTTTACTGTAACCATCCTGGCCACTCAACCACCATCTGGGCCCAGCTGGACAAGCTTGACTGCAGCAGAGTGGAGAGGACAGCACTATCAGATGGCACTTGTCTCCTCCCAGTCGACTCTGAAACACTTGGAACTAAGCTCTGGGTTTCCAGCCTCCCAGTCATGAGAGGCACTTGCTATGCCATTGCCTGGCACAAGTCTCCTGCTAACTCCAGTCGGTCCCTGTGCCACAACATCAGCCAAAGGCCAGCCACAGAAGATTGCACAACCAGGCCTTGATCTGTATTTTCCACTGCTCAGCCAGAAAACCCCTCCTTTTTTCCAGCACAGACATTTTCCATCTCTGCTCAGCAAGCATGCCCTGTTTTTGATTCCTGGGCCTTGCTTCATGAAGCAATCATGGGCAGGCTGTCTGGATGGAACAGGTCACAAAGTGGCTATGGGATAACTATTCTGAAAGCCAGCACAGAACAAAGGGGAGCTTTGCCAAAGGCTCAGGTGAGCACACAGACAGGCTACTGACACAAGCATGAACGCAGGGTTTACTTCCTCTGCGTCATGGTAATTGAACTCCCTCCTCCCTTTTCCTCTTCCGCCTGCCTGCCACAGTTTTCTCCTATCTAGACCCACATTTCATTAATAGTGAGTGGGTATATGGGTGATGGTATCACATTTTTTGCTACATTACTCATTCACAACTCCTAGACCAAGGTGGCTTTATTTTCTCATGACACCAGCCCTGCCTGACTAGGTTTGGCCCCATTAGCATCTTGGTTGATGATAACATGACATGTGGCTGCAGCTTGGTAACTTGAAGCCCTGCCATTACAGACACTTAGCCAACAGTGTAGGCAGAGGATGGTGGGGGTGACAGACAATGGGAGGAGGCCCGGGATGAAGCACAGATCCAGATGCGCTCCACTTAGGAACACCAGCAGCCAGAAACACCTTGGTATTGCTCACCTTGGCTGTCTCCCCAAAACACTGGAAAACAGCCAGCTCATACTAACCTGGAAATTAGCTAGCTTCCTGAAGAATTATAGAATCACGGAATGGCCAGGGTTGAAAGGGACCTCAAGAATCATGAATATCCAACCGCCGCCACATGCAGGGCCACCAACCTCCCTATTTAATACCAGACCAGGCTGCCCAGGGCCCCATCCAACCTGGCCTTGAACACCCCAGGGATGGGGCATCCATAACCTCTCTGAATAGCTGTTCCAGCATCAAGGGAAGGATTAAAGGAAAGGCATTAAAGTTAACACCAGCTATATTAACTAAAAATATGCGTACAAAAAGGTCAGAGTTATAACTGTTATGGAAATCATACTGTAAAATCATACTTTGACTTTACATGTGAAGTGTAGTCCTTCACTGTAAAGGCCTGTAAAGTATCAGGTCTCGCACGTCTTTAGGCTGGAATGGGTTGAAGGGGAAGTTACGAAGTACAGCCTTGGAGTTCACAAAGATTTGCTGTGGAAGAGGATTTGAGGTCAACAAGAGTAGGACAAATAGTGCAGACGCCTGATCACTTTCTTTCTGGAAGGAGTTAACAACCACTTCTAAGACAAAACAGCTGGGCACTCTCTCCAAACTGCCAGACTGCAAATAGGCAGAGGCAACATATAGAAAAGGAGAAGGGAAGCAGCATTCTACCTCCTTTTCTTTATAAAATTTACACTTGATCTGTTCTGGCCATTCTAACTAGTTTGCCTGTCTACACAAGGGCTATGAAAGGAAGGATTCAAAAATCAGTTAACTGAATCAGTGCTGTCATCACACAAGCCACAGACTGCAGCAGCAGTAGTTGACACATGGGAAGCAACTAGGGAATTTTCTGCTAGAGCTATTCCTTTGCTTTTGTGGGAGTCTTTGTTTCAGTGGTGGGGCCTGGGTGGGAACTAGGGGAAGGGAAGAAAAAGCAGCAGACTCAGATGCCTCTAGCAGTAAGTTCCAGTCCTGCCCAACAGACAGAAAGATGCAGCCTGCTTTTCCAGTCTTGGATCTCTTCTGAGCAGAGTGTGCCATTCACACCAGATTGTGCAACAGCAGGTTAGGATGCGTACGAAGAAAGGAGAAATGTCAGTTCATGGTGCAAACTCTGACCTGGCTGTCTTCAAGGCACGGATCACACTGGTGAGATATATATATGTGCTAGAATTTGTCACACACTCCTTGTGCACTCACCCTTTCCTGACAAGGTCTGTCAAGCTCCTCCTGTGCTTTGTGTGCATACGCACAACAGTTTATGAGTGCTCTTGTCCTGTTTCATTCCTTTGGAAGCAGCAAAGGTGAGAGGGAACTCCACTGTTTTAGAGATCATTTAGCTTGTTCTCCTAAACTCCTTTAAAGGTATTTTCCAAACCTCCTGACTACTGTGAACACTTTCTAGAGAGGCGTTTTAATTTCTCTTTGTTGAGTTCAAGTGCCTACCTACCCCCTATTATGCTTTTGCACTGCACAGTACTGTTCTGCAAAATACTTTACTACAGAAGACTTCCGACCAAAAGCCCTGATCAGTACCTGATCTGAAGTACAACTGCGATGAAAGTAAAACAACAGCTTTCAGAAGGATCACTCCTTCTGTCAGAATCAGCCCAACAGTGGCTCACATATGGTGGTCTGTGGGGCACATCCTCTCAGTAGCGTGGCCCTTTTACACCCTAAGAACCAGTGGGGCAACATTCTTGAGCAACAAAAGGAGGCATGACACAGTGGCACATAAAGCAAACTTGTTAAACTTCTTCCCCCAACTGCTTTCCGCTGGGATCTGGTTTTATCTTACCTCCAATGCCAGTACCTTGCTTTTACCATCCACATCTCCTCAATTCATTGTTACAATTCCACTTTGTTTTGTATTAGGCAAGTTAAAGAAGCTTTGTTTCAATGTCAAAGGCCTTTTTTTTTTTTTTTTTCCCCCCTATATTTTCACAGTTGACTTTTCAGTTTTTTTGGTTTAAACAAGAGATGACAGACAAGAGGTTGCTTGTGCTCTGAAAACATGCACTTGGAAATTCTAGTGCTCAAAGGAAGCTGTTGAAGATCAGACCATAAATGTTGTTGCTGTATTCGGAGAGCCAGAAGATGAACTGGATTCCATTCCCAGTGATTTCAGTCTTCCCTGAAAAGAAAATACAGACAATGTCAGTACTGAAATACAAGAGCAGACTAAAAGGCCAGGCTACTTCTTGCTCTTTAACAAGATCTTTAACAAGTGCCTTCCACCACTCCTCAGTAGAGTTGATCCTACTGAGACATTCAGAAAGACAGTGTTTTGACAGCCTGCTCTCAAGTTATGCAGTGCACCAGCACAGATAAGAGATCTCTTAATACTGTAATGTTACCTGGCTAGGTAGTAGCAAAAGGCAAAACTTCTCCAAGCCTTCTTAACCAATAGACCTAGTCCTATATGTTCCTTTATTGGCTTTTTCCACCAGCCTCATTTAAGGATTGAGAAAGGACAGAACTAAAGTGCATTTCTTGTATAAAAAGCAAAGCCTGGCAGTATCTGCCGTTGGAGAGCATTAAGTTCTTCAGACAGCACTTGGGTATTTAAGCAAAAGATCCGCAAACACATGAACATATGTACAAGTAAGTGATGAAGCCTGTGACAAAAGCCAAAAAAGTTCAAGCTGTGCTGCCCTATGAAGGAGGCCTGTTTGGGAACAGACAGGCAACATTCCATCTAAATTAGGACTGCCCTTATGCTGATAAGGGACTAAACATTTACGAAACATGGGTTGGTTAAAAAAATTTCAGGAAGGGTCTTTTATATCTATACACCTTTGGTCATTCATTCAGTTTTTTGTGCCTTGATGCCTGCTACAGCTAAAGCATTCCAAAAGGTAGCTGAGGGGATAGCTGTTCTAGAAATACCCATAGCAGTAAGGAGAGTTAGCAAACTTGTATCAGGCTGCTCTAGGCTTTATCCAATCAAGTTTAGAAAATCTCTTAAGTATGAAGCTTTTATACACAATGACACTACTACAAGGGGAGCCAACAATGTAATTACATGTAGGCACACTGACTGGAGAGGCCCAGGGGTCCCGAGATGAAGAAAGACAATTGGTTACTGGCTGGGCCTTATGTTTGTTTCCCAAGGTCTGTGCAAACCATGCTGCCAAGCATATGTGGTGTGCACATTAGATAATACTTAGGAAAAGTTTTCCCTCTAGAGGCTCATTCTGCGCTCATGGTTTCTGCTGCTATGCATCCAGCCAGCTTTCCTTCTTCAGCTCCGGAATTGTAACTGGAATTGTGCAAAAGTCAGCCCACATTAAGAGGCTTCAAGGGATCATCCTTTTGTTCAGGAGTGGCTCTACGTGATGCTAAAAGCAGAAGCAAGGAATGGATCCTGAGCATCAGGTGTGACTCACAGCAGTGAGTGAGAGAGGTCTGAGAAGCTCCACAGTGCTGAAAGTAACATTCACCTCTTCTCTAAGAAAGCTGAATCTCAGCTTATTTATTTACTTTTACAATTTAAGATACAGGGAAATCCACACTCAGAAAGTAACAGTAGGAAGAATTCAGCTACTGCCACCATATCTGCATCCCCTGTGCTTTTAAGAATATGGGAGGGCTCAGCTTTCCTCTGATAAATGAGTGAAGGGAGAAGCCAGGGATTGCACACGCATTCAGATGCTGCAGTATGTTCTCCTTAGCTCTTAGTTATAACACTTAGTTATAGTATGGCTTAGAGCCAAATACAACTTGAGCCATTCCTTCTCCTCCCCCACTGAAGAATGATCTCTAAGCTCTAGACCCTCATCTCCACCCAAAATGACTGCCCTGGTTTATTTTATTCTTTTTTTCATTGTTTCCTTTTTAATCACTTCTAAGCTAAGCTTTTGTTTGCCAAGTTTTCAGCCTGGAGCAAATTTTTACAGTCAGGTTATAACCTTCTATCCTCTCCCTTGAAAAAAGGTGTTTTAATGGATATGCTGCTGTCCCACCCATTATTTACCTTGCTGCTGGGAGGCAGGAGAGATGATGGCAAGCTTTTAAATTTCAGCATCTTAAAATTCTGTTTTGCAGACATGGGCACACATCTGGTTAAACCATTTCCCTCATGTCTTGGCTCAAAATCCTTGGCTGAGGCATCTCATGGCAGCAGATGTGTCTAGAGAGCTGAGGGAGAAAATCAGGAGACAAAGCGGTTAGGTTTCTCAGAAAGGGAACAGTTGTGGGCTAGAATACAACAAAATGCCGGGACTGGAGAGATGGGTCTGTCAGCATGTTACAGAGTTTCAACTACTCAGGATAGGCTGATATTAACTAACACTTGAGAAGCCCTCTTCTAAAGGGCAGGCTAAAAAGGCAGAAGACTGCTGAAGCCAGTGCCTTCCACTGAAGGGAGAAATGAGAGTCTGAAAACACACTATAACCTGGAGCCACACAGGGATTTGGACACTTCTCAGGGATTTCAGTTTCCACATTTAGAACTCAGTAAAAGCCTGAAAATCCTTGCTCAACTGCCAATGAATTCCCAACACCATTTTGAAGCCAGGGAGGCTCTGGAGAAGACATTTCAAAGCAAGCAGCTTCATCTCCTCAACTGCTTGTTTTAACAGTACTATCCACTCCACTGTCCTCACCCAGAGCGTGCCTAGAAGAGTTATCTGTGGTCTAAGATGGGGCACAGGGCCACAAACAGGAGAGAAATAAGGTATATCTGATGGGAAATTCCCTGTGGATGTGTCAGACCAGGGCTGAAAGTCCTTCACTGGTTTAGAGATGTTTCTTGTACAGGAACTGGTGCCCAAATTGCTCTGGGTTAAGATCTTTCATTATTTTTGTCACTTCTCTTACACTCCTCCCACAAGATCAGTATCACTCCCTCTCCTCGAGAAGTGTTCCATGTTAAGAAGATGTTTTATTGTATAACTTGATACCTTCACACACACTGATACTGGCAACAAGTGATATGAGAAGACAAGGCTGTTCACACACCAAGAAAGTTGAAATGGAAAGTTTTAGAATTCACGCTCACTGATTCTTTTTGCTAAACTAATATATTGGTTCTTAGCTAATACACTGATCCCTACTGCTAACCAGCCTATATCATGCTAGGCTTTAGACTACTCTGTGCACAGATCTTCTAGAAAGGCTACTGACTGAGAAGAATGAACAGCGTTTACCATAACATAAAGGCCAATCCTGGTACAAAGCATTCTCTGCAAAGAGGGAAGCTGGACCCAGAACTAACTTTGAAGTTGATGTCAAACTTCAGGTGTGAATAGCCATACAGAAGATGTTGCATCACATGCTCTGAGAAGGTTTAGAGACAAGAAAACCATAGAATAAAATACATCTCTATTGTCTCTTGTCTTCCCCTTTAAGTTAGAATCTAAGCGAGGGAAAGAAGGGCAGCTTCTTGCTACAGGCTAGCTTTTATAGAATCACAGAATCATAGAATTACATGGTTGGAAAGGACCTACAGGATCATCTAGTCCAACTGTTCTCCCACCATCGTTACTACCGCAAGCTAGTAAACCTTATCTCAGAGCAGAAATTTCAGTGTCATATTAACTCCCACTGGTGCAGGGATGCACAGAAACTGTGGACAGAAAGGTACTTTCTCCTTGCTCCAAGGCTGGTCAGCTCAGTCTATAATCTTAGACTGAAATTTTTACATGCTGTTTTAAAGATTGCCTTTATACACCCCATAGTCACTGTTGCACTTTGTTCCAGGGCTTCATTAGCCTTAGTCCTAAGTCATACTGTAGTTAAAAATCTTGACATTTTGTCCCTTATGCCCTGGATATGGAGAATAAATTATACCCATCATCCTTGTATTACTTGTATTGCCCCTCAAGCCCTTTACTACTTCAAGATGCTATCATACTTCTCCCTCATTCTTGTTTAAGAGCTTCAGGCTCTTTCTGGTCTTCTCATCTAAACTTCCCAGATCCTCTTCTCATACCTTAAGGCAAACACCAGGCTTTCTGCCTCAGCAGAGAATGGCACAGGAATACATGGAAGGGTTGATTTAAAGAAACTGCTTCTCCCTCCACTCTCAGTGCCCCACAGATGTGCCAAGATCTGAAACTGCACTAATTTTACTTTGTCAGACTTATTAAGGAAACAATTACATGGGTCTCTGCCTTTGGGTCCTCCATTCAAAGCCTCTAATGCTTCAAAGATGCATGCACTTGATTAGCTTAGAGCTGCTCACTCCAACACGATGAGTGAGCTACAAAGACGGAAGGCTGAGATAAGCATGTTCTTGTGAGGGTTGCTGGAGAATAGCAGACAATCACAGGCCTTATTTCTCCTATCAGGTGAAAAATTTTACAAACCATGGAAACTTGCAATTTTGCCTCTTGTCTAAAGTCTGCATTTTCCCTGGAATATTTATGCTTTTCCTACATTTCCTTCAGTGATGATCTAATCAAGCAGAATTCTTTTGATATTAACCAGAAGAACAGGGGAACACTTTTATGGTTCATATTACCAATGGGAATGTCAGCAAGACTGACAGGACTACCTTTGGAATTGCCACATATTAATCAGAGCTCGGCTAACATGGTAGGGCTGGGGTGGAGCTCGTTTTGCTTTGCACACGGGAGATGGCTTGTTTGAGAGTTGGGAAACTGAGGGCGGTGGAGTTCCCTCTCCATCTGATTCAGAGATCTCGAACAGCTGCCCTGGCAGCCCTCAGATATCTCTTCCCATCCGTGTCTATTTCTTTGCTTTCATCATATCTTCCCATTATTAAACTGTCACATACTACACTCTGCATTGAGCTAGGAGGGCTTGCATAACCAAGTGTAAGCTCACAGTCCTGACTTGGTGACACAGGGAGTGACAAGCTGCTCCTACAGGCCACACTCTGCTGTGGGAGGCCAGAGATAATTGCTCTGAGCCCTGGGACAGGGTTCCAGGAAAGAGAGCCTGGTTCCAAAAACAGAGGCATGTTAGACTTGCAGAAGCAGCTAGGATACAAAGTAGGCATATCTAGCCAAGTGAGCAAACAAAACCAAAGTCATTTTTCTCTCCTTAAAATTTTGCACTGTTGTCACCCAGCACAGACAAATGGCTAAACACAACTGGTAATGGAATAATTAAATCAAACATTAAAAAGGCAACAAAGGTAAAAATATAGCTGCACCATCACTATCCCCAAAAAAGCAGCATGTATTTGTCATGAGTAACTCTGTGGAGTAATGGGATGCAGCACTGAGCAGACCTGGGCCCCTGCATAGTGCTTGAACAGGGGAAGGAGCATTGCTCTTGCAGTACAGAACACTGAATACAGAAAAGCAAAAATGTTGGCATTCATTTCTAAATCTGTCCTGCCTGGCTGGCTAAAGAATTAAAGCTAGAATATAAAGTGCTAAAGGGACAAAATCATACCCAATCCATACAGTTTCCTCTGCTTTGATACACACAGAGAATGTGTAATTCCACGCACTTCAAGCATTGCACTCATGCATAGAAGGGCCTGCAAAACAAGGCCCTTGAAGTCTCAGTAGAAATTGTAAAATGGAGTTCCTAGGTCATAAACCAGGATCTTGCATCAACCATTTACCATTTATTTGCAGGAATAGGATTAACTGAAAATTCAACAGCTATTCCATAACTTCTCACATTGCATATGGAAAAACCTATCAACTGGTGTCTCAAAGAACAGGTGTGAAATTCCTACTTCTCAACTTATTCCTCTGATGAAGGAACATCTCAGAAAACACACTTTTTCACAAGTCTGATTTGCACAGGTCTGGCTTCCAAAATCTAATTCCCTCTATCGATGCAATCTTCTTCACATTAAGCAGAGAACAGTCTTCTCTTTAGAAAGAAGGCTGTGGGTTCTCCTTGAGGCAGCTTGCTCCATGAAGGTCTACCCAAGAGATAAATGAAAAGCGAAAAAAAGTCAACATAAAATAGAGACTCAACCTAGCAAAACTGCTGCTGATATTCAGGAGCAGAAACCACATGCCTCTTTTGCCTCAATAATTTCCAAACCATAAATGATGTTTAATGTGGAAAAAGTCATAAGCGTACAAAAGTTACTTCTAAAACTAAAAACACAGCGTTTCTTACTTTTATGGCTTTGGTAAATTAAGTGTTTTGTATTCTGGCATTATGCTTGCCATTCTGAAGAACCTTTTTGCTAGGTGAAAAACAATGGCACTGCATGTGAGCATGTCTACTGGCTCTGCAGTGTCCTTCCAGGAAGAGTACCCTTCCATATTCTGGCACAGACTATTTCTGTTGACTGCTCAGCAAAATGGAGCATGTTGTCCTTCCACTAGTGGTATATCACAAGAAAATTAAACAATACTAGGAGGAATTTAAATTTCGCTGTCCATTACGTTCTTCTATACTCTCAGTTTTAGCTATCTTCCAGTTACATGTTCCCTACTGTCTGTCCAACCCAGCAAGAGACAGTGCATGAAAAATTACACACAAATCAGAAGCAGCTCCCATAAACAAAGCATACTGAAGCATTTCTAAGGGACACAAGAGCGGAAAAAAAAAAGGATGCTTTGCTGTCCTCTTCATTGCTGTTCAACTGCAGACATTTTAAGTGTGTTCTGCGTTCCAAAACTATATTTAAAATAAAGCTTTTAAAGTAAACAGCTTGCACTGTGTGCCAAGATTGCTGTAATGCCAAAACAGAAAATACTGCTTGTCTGGCACATGCATCACGTTCCAAGCAGGAAATCCAACAAAACATTTAACACAGCAGACATTATTTGATAGTCTCAACTATGACGCCCACTTGGCACTGGCAGTAAGTAGTCTTCCACAAACTGTATCCAAAAATGATGCTTGCCTAACTTGTTATCATGCAAAACATTAATGGGAGCAGTTTTCTCTTTTGAAGTCCATTGGAACTAGAAACGTAGGCTGAAAATGCCTGGTACATATCCATGCAGAAAGCTGAGAACCACCCTTTTACGACTGAAGCACACAAAATAACACTGGGAAGCAGAGCTCCTCAGTCTTTTCTGTTCTGTCACATCGACACACAGTGCTGAAAAATTCCAATGGGACCTAAAGTTATTGGGAATAGAGAGAAGTCAAATATTTTATATATTTATTTGACTAGCTGGAAGAAGTCAGCAAGCCTGTAGCTGCCTGGTCAGACCTCTGAAGACAACTACTGGCTCATCTGCAGGCCACAGTTTTTAACTAATGCTATCTGAGCCATTTTCTGTTTTTCTCACTGCTTTACTGTTCAGGTTATGTAATCCCGAAGCTTTTTTTTTTTTTCTCTCAAAGGTTCCTTTTCTCATTCTGCATCAGTGTGAGGCATGGGATCACATTTTCACCAGTTGTGAAAGAGAGCTGTATTAACCAAATGCACTGACTTCAATAAAGCAGGGATAGGTAATATTAAAGCTGCTACAAAACTACATTTCTATTCATAAACACATATATGAATCCTAACAGCAGATACTTAGGACAAACAGCCTTACTATCAGCACTTGAAAAATTATAGTTTGCCTAGGCAAAGGAGGGCTGCTGAAAGAAATCCACAGCTGAAAATAATATATTGTCATCATGACAATTTAAGTGTACTCCTCAGAAATTTCCTGAAGCCTTGACCTACTCACAGAAAAACCATGATGCCTACAAATGGATCCATTGAGCATGCCCTGATAGCTGTTTTCATCATCTCTAACAACAAGTGACTCAGTTTTCCTTTTTTCTTCTTGCACCTCACTCGGTGAATTGAACAGGTTTTCAATGGTTCACGGCCAAGCCTAGCCCTCTCTGAAAACACATTTTAGTTCTGCTGTTGCAGCATTTCTTCCAGGACAGGCGCCCAGAAAAGAGCTTTGGAAACCAGTGTTTACTATTCTGGAGTAGAATAATTTCTGGAAAAACACCATAACCATCCATAAGTTTTGTTTTTTGTTTTTTAAATCAATCACTGTTAAGACAGTCCTGCACTTCTGATACGCCAGCATTTTACATGCACCTCTTTGGGAGTCCAACCCACACATTAGTTACAGCTCTCTGGAGTATGCACTGCCTTGCATCTGGTGCTGCTCAGATAAATGCAGTATTCTTCCCAGGACAATCAATTGGGAAGTTGTTATTAACACATTCCTCAAAGCCACATAGTTAGAACTAAAGTATTTCTCAGGAAACATATTCCTTAATTTACCCATTGCAGCATACCTGGTCTTTCCTGATAGTTGGAACTGGGAAGACCAAAATCCTTTGCATCCCGTCACACATTTGAATCCTGAACAGGCAATAGAATTGAGTGTGCCCCATAATAGCTCATGAAGTTCTCTGTTTTTTATTGTCAAGATATTCTGCTACTGACTTTATAAAGTTTTTTTCCCCAACGTAAACAACTTCGCCATCATATTACTGACTGCTGCTACTCCTAGGTCAGAGTCTGTAAACATGGCGAAGTATCACATACCAGATGCAACACGAATTAGCTTGATCTTCATGTGAATTATGTGGCATTCTTCATCAGTGTTTTTGGTTTACTCTCTTGTCATCCAATGCTGCTCTTGCTTCTTCTCCTTTTACAATGGGTCTACATCTTGAGACCATTACGCCCCTAGTAATCCAGGCATGGCTTCCATGCTCATACCTGGTGCTTGTTTGTAATCATCTTTCCTGATTTTCCTATCCTTTTCCCAAAAGGCTAAGGCACTTTTTTTTTTTTTTCTCTGTTTGTTTTTTAATTAGCTATAATATTTATCTTCCTCCTATTTATTCAAAACTCACCAATGTGCCACAGAGGTGTAAGACGCCACCTCTGTCTGTGGCAACAGCAACAATTCCTGAGCTGCTGTGGAAACACAAGTATTGCTGAAAGAGCTCTCTGGGCAACTCCTGGGTCCACACCTGCAGCCTGGGGCATACCACCTGAACCTGCTGTCATGGTCTAAGGCAGAAGATGGAGTGCAATCCTCTAGACTTCAGTACTGAGAACCCTGACACAACTATTTTCTTAAATGTGTTTATTTCTGCTAGACTGTGCTTCCAAATGTGCTTTTAGAAACAGTTAGGAATTAAGAACTCAGTGGTAAGTTATTTAAGTGGATGAAAAGCCTCACCACTGTAATGCCGCACCTTCTTTCTCACCTGTGTTCACTGAGCTTCAGCTTTAAACTACCAAATATAACACACCTATTTTGTTCTGGTTGGATCATTTCATTATAAAAGCTGCACTCTCTAAATAAATTTCAAAAGGTTACAGTAAGATTTGCCTTCTTTTCAGTAAATTAAACATACTATTAAATGGATGCTAAGATTGAGTTGGGCTTACCAAGTGCAGAATTCTCTGGCTCAAAACACAACACACAGACCAAGGGAGAACAGGCATTGATACAACTTAGCATCAATAAAAACATGGGAATTATTTCTACCAGTCAATAGTGAGAGAACAATCAGGTTATAAAGCAGTAAGGAGATAGTCTCAAGCCCCAAATTTCTGAAAAGATGGAAACAATCCTTACAATCCTCAGACCAGACTTGAAGCTTTCTAGTAAAGAAGAACAAAGCTTTGTCCTGTTGTCACATGAAAAAATTTTGGTGACTAAGTAAGCCTGAGTATCTTGTTAACAAGACCTACAATCTTGAAAGTTGACCCTTTGCAGTAAGAAGTGTGACACCGAAACAAACTCTTGAAGGAAAAAAAAGGCTGCACATCCCAAGCACTGTAACCTGAATAAAGATGCTTTCTAAAGGGACAAAGCTGCTTGTGCACAGGTGCCTTCTACAATTGCTGCTCCTTGCGTCAGTGTGTAAAGTGCAAGACAAAACACTGCTGGGAGCTGGGCAACAAGGGAGGTGGAAGTGAAAGGCTGGTCCGCTCAGCCTCTCTATTTCACAACAGTTCCTGAAAATTTCTGAGTTCCAGGAGAGCTGCCCAACTTCCTCTGAGCCACTGCCTTTGAGCTGCATTTGCAACACTAGCAGCCTGTGTATTTCAGGAATGCGAAAAACTGGCACAGTGAGGTTTATGATTCAGCCAAGATGATGTGTTGGGACATGACTGAAGTTAATTAAAAGGAGCTTAAGACAGACAGACAAAAAAAAAAAAAGTTTGCAAGACTCCTTAAAGAGCCAATTAATTATTATTTGTGGCTGCACACGCCAGCTGGGCCACAACATGGAATCTCCCCAGCCTCACCTCACAGCCTTTATAGAAAGCCAAAAAAAATCCCCACCAAATGCAGGTCAGCCTTCAGGAGCTCTGGGCCAGTATCTTTGCACTGGAGCTGGGTAAAACTTCACTAAAATCAGCAGAGTGGCATTGTTTACAACCACAGATTTAGGCTAGGTCTTAATGGTGAACACAAAGCAAGAAATAAGCAGCACCTCCAGCAACAAGTCAAAACGCATGGGCTACTCCAGAGCTGGATCGCCTGGTGACATTCATTGTTCGTGTGCGTGGCCTGGAAAAGGAAGGAATGCCTGGAGTCAGTGTGGGAGGAGAGAAAGATGGGAATAATTTAATCCTCTCTCTAATGCATGATAGTGATCATTTTCAGAGCTGCAAGAGGCACCCACATGAAGTGAAGCAGTTTTACACACTTCCAGCCTAGTTTCCTGTAAGGATTTCCTGTAAGGAATTCAGTAAGAATTCCTCTGAATTCACAAAGATTCTAAATCAGTACATGTAAATTCTGAGTCCCGGCTCTGCAGCCGCAAATCTTCCATCATCTCCCCATGATGGGAAAGCAGTGGTGACAGAGCAGCGTGAGCAGTGCCTCCAGTGAGCAGTGCCCCAGCCTGTCCCAGGAGCAATTATCCCAGCATGGGCAGGAGCTAGCCTGGCCGCAGCCCCGCCTGGCTGGAGTGTGCAGCCCTGTGCTTTACACAAAGGCAACAGGCAGAGCCACATGGCCCAAACAAGCTTCCTGAGCAAGACTTAGCAAAATTTGCAGTTGTCCTCTTCAGAAGGAACAAAGCCTACTGCACCCTGAGTTACTGACAAGTATGTTCAACAAAAGGCTGAGGTGTTAACAGTGGGGACTTTTTACTTCGACTCACTGTCACCTCAGTGACTTACTGCGATTGCAGTCTACGTGTGACCGGCACGGCTGCTCCCAGCCCAGCAAGGAGCCTCCTACCGCTGCAGGCCCTACACCTGCTCACACAGCCCTGCCTGCACGTAGACTTTGGCAGCCCCTGTGGCATTTGCTGGGGTGGGGGTGGGAAGACCATGGTGTCATTTACACACAGGTTGAACAAACCAGGTGCAATCAGTTTGGGTTTGGCTGAAAAATCCTCCACCCTGTACAAGCTATTTAACTCCTGCAATGCCAAAGCTTTGCGCATGCCCAAGGCAATGAAAACCTTAGTCTGCAGAGAAGAATTCTCTGGGTCATTGTTCCTCAAGGCACCACAGAAGAGGATAAGGTCCTATTAAAGACCTGTTGCCTAAAGACAGATAGCCAGTTCTCCAGATACTATGCTCTGAAAAATCAGTCTAATCTAAACTATGAAAACATATAGTAAATATAGCAAAGTCAATTGTTGCGCAGGCTGCCCAGAAAAGTGGACATCCCACCCCTGGAGGTGCCCAAGGCTAGGAGGGATGGGGCCTTGGGCAGCCTGATCTGGTGGTGGCAAGCCTGTCTGCTCTCCAGAGGCTGCAACAGCACTTCTGGTGCTGTCCTGGTGACAGAGTGAATGGCCAGCAGGGAGCTGAGGAACGGCTTAAAGATCTAATGCTTGGTTATGCTCCATGCAGGTGAGGGCACTTCACCTGTAGATGATGAGTAACACCAAGGGGTGGTATGGGGACTGCTGGGGGAAGCAGTGGGAGCAGTGCTCTGGACTACGCCTGGACACTGGTACATGTCCAGTCCATCTCCATCCCGCCCTTAACACAAGACCATTGGGTCCCAGTTATCTTTAGGCTGCAAGCTGCTTCCTGGAACATCCACCTTTTGCCTTCCCACTCCCCAAGCTGGCTGGCAGGATCTATGCATCTTGTGTCTCTTAGGAAGGGAGATTTTGGGATGCAGTCTGTAGGGGCTGGACAGTGATCCACACCTGAGCTCAGTGTCCATGAAGTCCACTGAGTGTTGCTTATGTCCAGTCTATTATGCTGCTTGAAATTGATACTACAATGAAACCCATATGGGAAACCATTAACTGCAGATCACATGGGCCAAGAAGGACATGTTTGCAGAAAGCCCTGGAACAGTAAATTTTATTTGAGTTTCTGTCTCCAGTTGTTCTTCTAGCTCTTTCAAAAGGCTATGTATGAAGCAGGGGAGGAACCTGGGGGGAACTCCGGACTGAAAGTAGCTTAACACCTTGCTGGATCCTCGCCAAATACATTTTCACATTAAGAACTCTAAACTAGCTGGAAAAATACTTCTCTCGACCCCTGAGGGGTCAGTGAGATACCCAAGCGCAGATGCAAGACAGAGCTAAGATCTGACATGAAAAGCCAGGGTTGCTCACCTCATTCAGGAGCTGAAGCCCAGAGAAAGGGGCACAGCTTCCAGGAATGGACAAAGACTGCAAACCCTGCAACAAAGGCTACTTTTCAGCAGCACATAAAGGAAGGAGGGCCCAGCTCTGCCCCTCCAGCCAGACTCCACCCCTCGCAGCGTGGAGGCCTTCGCAGAGCGCCAGCCACATCTAATCAGGTCTGACAGACAAGACAAGGCAGACGGCCACCCGCCATAGGCACCCCCGCCCCTGCTCACCCGCAGGCTTTCCCCCAGCCCTAGGGATGCTGCCTCAGTGGAACTGCTCACACCAGCCCCATGGCGCCACTGCTGCCCCCTGGCCCTCACCCACTCTGATCAGCATGCACCCGGCCGAAGCCCCACGACCTGCAGTTTAGGGAACAGCCCAGTGTTGATCAAACAGGAACTGGGGCAAATCCTCAACGATACACGTTTCCCATCGGACAGAAAAAAATCCAAACTTTCAAAGAGTTCATTTAAGCATCTCTGGGACAAACAAGCCAGTGTTGGAGGCATAGAACAACTCAAAGGAGTCAGACCTGTTTCATAAAAGCAGGGAAGACTGAGTATTTCCTAAAACTGCCTCTCCTTCACTTCTTAGATCAGGGTTCAGTATGCACCAGAGCAGGGTGAGAATCTAGAACGGAAAGTTGAATAAGCAGTGCTTAAAAGCGAGGAGGCAGGAACTCGCCAAAGCAAAGATGAGGAGGAGAGAGAGAGGGGGGGAGCAGAGGCTCTTTTTTGAAGTGTGAGTACCACTTTAGTGTGCAGTAGACAGAAAACTGGTTGGAAGCCCCATGATTCGAGCAAGACACTCAGCCCTGGGAGCCAGAAAAAGAAAGGATTTGGCAGAAATTCCTCTGCAAAGCAAAGAATCATTTCTGCAGCAGAATATTCAGCTTGGCCTTGCTGCAAACCAACCTTGCCAGCTACTTGATCATGCCATCAGAATATTAGCACTCAACTCCTCTGCTCTAATGAAGCCATGAATCTCTTCTATCCACTCCTATCTTCCATTTGGCCTCTTTTAGTCAGTTCCTCACAGTCCCAGTCTTCCTGCAGTGCCCTGGGGCCATCCCAGTGCTCAGGGAACTAACAGCAGCCTGCCTGCCAGTCTCCTGGATGCCAGCTGCCCACCTTCACTCCTCCCACATTTGCTCTTTGGGCACTGTTGTCCAGTCCCTGTCACACTCCTTCCATCAAGAGGCTACAGCTCACAGCACATGGACGAGAGAAAAAAATCACTGCTCTGGAACCACTCAGATTAAAGACAGAGAGGCCAAGCACCTAAGAGCCAATTTTGGGAAGCTTTGGCACCATGCAGGAAGTTGAGACAATCTGATGCACTGCTGAACACACTGTATCAGTTTATCTTTACTCATCCTCTCTGGGACCAGCTGTGCACAGCACACATCATGCTGCAGTGGTATTAAGCCAAGGCAGCTGGAATGTTTGCAAGGAAACATAGCAGATACAGCACTATTATTGCACCACATTAATTTTTTCACTGCCTTGCAATATGGAAGAAGACAGAGTCAGTACTGGGCAGCTGGACTGTGTGGCACCCACATATCACAATACAGTAGAACTGCACCCATCCATACTACAGGGACTCTGCTTGCATCAAGGGCTAGTGGTGCCAGCATAAGCCACAAAGGCAGTCGGAGAGCTTTGCACACCTGGACTTGAAGAAGAAAACACCACTTCAAATAAGAAGACAAGATACCTAAAAACTTCAATGAAAAAGTGACATCCACGCCCTGATTTTCTGAATGTGTGCCTCCTGAAATAATAAAAAAAAAATAAAGCAGGTCAATTTTAGCTTTTAAGGACATTTTCCAGGGCACACCAACACATTAAAGCATCTCTAGTCACCACATCTCAAAGAAACAGAAGTATCCTTTCTAGAAAAATTATACTCAATTGCTTAGGAGCATGTGTATACTTCTCCCAAAACGGTACAGAAAAGATAAAGCTACACTAGAGCTGTAGTCCTGTTTCAACATGTCAACTAGTAAGACTGTCGATCCTAGCCTAGCTGTGAAGCTAGTGGTAGAGAAGCTGAAAATTTAGAGCTGAAAAGTAACTACCTTGGAAACTTCTTGTTAATGAACAAATGATTGTGTAAAATGTTTACTAGCATTCACAATTCCATTTTAATTATTCCCTCTGTTGAAAAGAAACATAAACATACCCAAATTCACTTGGAAGAGAATTAGGGAATTCTAAAATATGAGACAGAAGCAAAGTTCACTTTGGATCTGATGCTTTCCACACTGGGTTTGAATTTTCACAGAAACAGCCCCTCCACCAATGGTTCTGTTTCTAGACTTTCTGTTCAATAACTCCTGCTGCACACCAGACCCTGCACTCTTCCCCCTTCAAAAGCAGCATTTACATAAGGAAGGCTCTGTACCCACTACACAAGGTGGGTGACACCAGCAGCCGTAGAGGGATGTACATAAAATGAGTTTTGACTATGGCTAAAGAGAATGACTGAGACACAGAAAAATAAGTTCAAATTGTGTTGTTGGCTATTCTGAATTCAAACAGGTCTGTATTTTGGGGTCTGTGCCTAATTTCTGCAGTCTAGCTGGGTTCTCATCCTGTCCTTCTACATACTTGTTCTGGCCATGTGAATAAGGCTCCTGAAAAGCACCAGGTTTCTGCAGAGGTTGTTTGTTCACTTGAACTCCTCTTGCAAAAATAAGGATAACAAAAAGGGAAGAAGATTGGGTGACTCACGATTTACTTTCCAGCAGGATACAACTATGGCAGGAGGCAGCCTGGTGAATGCCATCAGGGAGACCTATGGGGAGAAACAAAAAGTATAGAGAAATTCAACAGAAAAATAGCAAGAAGGAAAGTTTCCAGATAGTAGTGGAGTGAGGAAAAACTTTGCAGACACATCCTGGAAGGGAAAAAACAGAAGTTTAATTCCTAGGCACAACACAATAAGGACCCAGAAGGCTGACAGCTGTAGTGATGAGCGAGGAAAGAGAGTGCAGGAGACAGAACTGGACCCAGTGATGTTGTGCTGGAGCCTGTTGTAGTTAGTCTCTGCTGCATTACTGGGGACATCACTCTATCTTTCTACAAGCTTACAACATCTGGGAATCTTCCCCACTAAAATTCCTGTGACTGCACAAAAGAGCACTGTGATGAAGGCGAGCCACAAAGCAGCTATTTGGAGGTAAAACAACTGAAAAGGTGTGATGAATATAAGCATCAAAAGATTCCAAATAGATCCTGAGCTTTGGGACAGGGACAATCTGAGAAGAAAAGGGTTCTGTAGACAAAAGGAAGGCCCTGGAAAGAGAAAATAGAAGTTCTTTGATCTGAAATTCTGCTTTATTTTAAAACAGACATATTGCAACAGAGATGTGTGTGCACACAAACAAGTCAAGTATCCACATGTATACAATTGGTTCTGGATATTCCTTCTTCCTTTAATTGGTCCCAGGTGAAGCATCAACAATCACATCTGGAAATTTTTATACAAATGGCAAGAAAGCCAATGACTTAGGTCACAAATATTTCACGCTCTTTCTTTGCCAGAAACACAGGACAAATGTGGTTTACATCTGCCTCCCTATAAATACTCACACTTGCAAGATACTCTGCTGTGGCTAATACCTCTGTTTCCACAATCAGAACTGATCAGCATACCACCCTTCTCACCAGGCTTGAGTTTGGTCAGACCTGCAAATCTGGACACTGGGTGACACCTGCAGTCCAGGTCAACTTCTCATTAGGATACATATCAAGAAATGGCACAGACATCCTAGGTGACTTGTAGATACAATGCACAGAATCAAATTACATGGATAAGCATTTTTAAAGGCTGCTGCAACCTCAGCCTTCCAGTCTCTCCATGAGACCACAGGAGAGGCACACCCAGTTTCTGCCAAATGTGCAAACTCAGCTTAGCATGCAGCAGCTCACCTTCCAAAGGAAAAAACACCAGTACCCTTCAATTCCCCACCCTTCCTGCCTCAGCCACTAGCAGGCTTGCTGAAGAAAGGTGGTGCTGGCAGCAGCCATAATGTTTAGCTGCTCATATTCAAGAAGAGATTGTTATGCCCCTTGTCCATGATATACCAAATCACCTAACTAGTTCTGCCTGGTCTATACTGGTGCTGCAAAATGGTGCTGCAAAATGCTAAACAAATTCAACACATCTCATTAAAAATGGCCTCGCTTTCAGGCATCAAAGACTGGATTCAGATAAGTCTTAACAGTAGCACTTTTTCCTAGCAGTAATTGTACTCAGCTTCATTTTGGGAGGAAGATTCAGAGAGAGCACAGTGTCCTCAATACTGTCATTATATGGGTGCTGCCCTGGCCAAAGACACAGCTTTATTACTGTCTGTGATACCTGCATTCTGAGGAATACAGAAATGCATTTCTTTTTTCTTTAGTACTACCTGGTTCCCAGAAAAAGCACAAGATCTTCTGCTCTTTGCGTTTCTGAAATGTCCTGCTGGTGTAGATGCTGGTGTTAGATCACCACAAGAAACGCTGATTTAGAAGAACTGCAAGCTCTGCTGGAACCAGTGGAGTGCAGAAGGAAGGCACAATTGGGCAGGAACAGCTTACACACTTCTAAGGAGCCAATTCTGATCAATCATAGAATCATCCAACCTTGGTGATTCTATGATTCTATGATTATACCTGTGGTAACTTTGTATTGCTGAAGGGGTAAAGAGACTACAGACACTGCCTAACAAGATTTACCTACCTCTGAATGGCCAGTGTTATGCTTCAAGCAACCAGAACTTGTAATGGACAAAAGTGAAAACACCTACTTTTTTTGGTTTGTTTCATCTGTGGCATGCATCTGGGGTGACTGGTTATATTTTCTCTCCCTAGAGTTTTAAACCAAACTGCTAAGTTCTACGTATGTTCAAGCAAGAGCAGCCCTCTCAAATAGAAATGCCAAGCAAGATGCACATTCACTTGAAAAAATTAACACTTTTTAATGCAATATTTAATTAACACATACAATTTACCACGTCTCACTGCTGCAAGAAAAAGCTGAATATCTTTTTTTTTTTTTTTTTTTAAAGGATTAAAGAAGTTTGATTAAAGTTAGTATCTTCAGATAACTAATTCATTACATTTTCAGAGCATTCCATTAGCCAGGCTAAAATACGTGATGCCACTGCGACCTGTCCTAGTCACTCAAGTTAAGAACATGTACAGCCTCCATAAACTGCTATCTCATTAGCCTTATTTGTTCTGGAGTTTTCCTTTGGAATCCCTACACAGGTCACGGCTAGGAGAAGATCACTGAGCTGATCAGTGAATTGTTGAAAAAGAAAAAACATCATGAATTGTTCAGACCATGCCATTCAGTTCTAGCCCTCCAGGAGCTTTCTTGAAGCCCAGGCCAAGCTGGCCATTGCTACAGGACAGAGGTAGCTCAAAGGACTACGAAACTGAGTCAAGTGAGAGCACAATGTTTGGAATCCTCATTCTGAGTACTGATGGACACTGCTGTGCTCTGATTTATTCTCTGTAACCTTTTTAAGGGCACACATTAAAATGACCTCTCCACGTTTCTCCACCAGTGCTCATCTGGTATGCAACAGGTGTGAGGCTGTTGCTGTTCTTAACATCTTTTAAATGTTCTACCAGATGAAAAAATGAATTCCCTTTGTTCCTCGGAGATGGAGTTTCTTTCATTTCCTGCGTAAGGATGCAGTCCACACTTTCAGTAGAGGGAACAGATGATGTAGGCCTAGAGGCTAAGGGTGCATTTGCATGGCGTGGGTTATCAAGTGTTTCTGCACTATTAATCGTTTATACCCATTGGGCTGTACATGTCTGGTAACAGGAGTACATCTCCGGGGGTGTTCTCTGTTTTGCAAGAGGTCAAGAGATGAAAACCATGCTTTCAAATCCCTTTGCTCTCAAGCCCATGGATACAGTCTCCTTAAAAATCCAAGCTGAATGAAAGGACCCTGATTTTGGCTTATTTGCATATGTGATTATGTAAATCATCCTACCAGCTCTTATCCCATGGCAGCAGACCTGCCATGCTAGGCTGCAGAAGAGCCTCCAGGTCTGTGCCACAGTGGAGAAGACTGGATTATAGAAATGGACACATGCCTGAGAACAGGTCCTAGCTGCATATTCACAGCTCATCAGCAGGCATATGGATTTAACCCTTCACTGTCAGAGAGGTAGGGTAGAAGAAAGCATTGCAGCAACCATGGAGAATGCTTAGATATAACAGATGTCTTTGTTTGAATATGTTTAAGGACAAACAGCAGAAGCATTCCATGTCTGCTGTCTGCAAGAGGGTTAATGATCTTACACCACCAGCTTCAGCATGAAGTCCCCAGAAATCAAAACGGTGAAAGATTTCCAGTCCCAGGATCATCACAGGATGAAATGTCCCATTCACATACCACTGCCACCTCATGGTGAGGGTGCACTGTCTGCTTATGCCGCAGCAGCATGCACACTGGCTGACTTGTAAGATGTCCATTCTGCATCGCTGCCGAGCTCCTTTACATTCCACTGCTACCTTCAGGCCTCCACCCTTTCAGCTGCCACCCTACACATGTAGGGCTCACAACGCTAACTGTACTGCCCAGTTGTCCAGGATGCCACAGCCCAGTACCTCCCTGCTTTTTTACAGTAGACTTCACAGACACATCAATGCAGCAGCACTCCTACAGTTAATGCAACCCCAGACCAGAATATCCAAGCATCTGTAGGAAGTGGAAAATTTTTAATGCTGTGAGGAAAGTGCTGCATGGACAATAGAAACAGAGAAACCAGGCTCCATCAAGTGGAAGTAGAAGCACTGTTCAGGGACACATGGAAAGTGCTGAGTAGTCACAAGATGTATTTTGCAAGCTCTAAATGATCTCTTACTAGGGCTGATAACACACTTTTCACAAAAAGAGCGTGAAAAATAACAAAAGGAAAACATAATTGCCATTTCTGGAGAACGTGGCCCTTATGAACCAATCATCTCCCAAGGACTCATTTTAAACCAGCAATAACTCCAAGGGATTCAAGAAACACTCTGAAGCAAAACTAAGTATCTGGATTTCTCTTGGTTCTGAGAACTAAACTCAGACTAGTTTTGGCCAAGACTTCCTCAGCTTTTAAAGTCAATATGGCCCAAACTAAACTTTCCAAATCAGGTGGATTTGGCTGAGTTTTCTTTGGAGGGATTTTGCACATGTTTTGTTAATCCTGCCGGGACTAGGAACACAAGGGGAATTTCACCAACACTGTATATCGATCAAAACCACTAACATCTCTTCAAGTGATGATGTTTTTACCCACCCTGGGTCAGTTACCCTAACCTACTCTTTGTAAACATCTGAAAAAGCAAACTGACATGCAGTAGCCGACACATGATAATTCCAACTAAACTTCCTACTGCAAGCAGGAACCAGGTGGGAACAAACAGTGGAGGTCAAAAATCAAAATTGGTAAAACGGCAGTGTTAAATTTAGCCCTAAGAGTCCCAGAGGACCTCACTTTGAATATCTGCAGTTTGAAATGTAAAAACTAAAATTTCTTCACTTGCAGGATTCCACATTCTCCTTACTTAAACTTCAGCTTTGATGCTCCTCAAAGGCAAGAACAAATGTACAAAGCTAGAGCATCTGGATCATATCTGTGCTCTAATCCTGCAGTTCAGATGCCAGCTTCCTTTTCCCTGGTAGAAATCCATCTGCAAATTCATGCTCAGAAAATGGAGATCAAGCAAACATCAGCTTTTTTTCACTGTTTCAGAATTAATACCAGGGTTTATCTGTGGGGTTACTTGCACCCCAGCTG